GATTTAAATTTAATCAATCACATATATGTGTGTGCATTTGTGTTTGTTCTATTAATAAATTCAAATTTTCTTTAAAAATTCATTTAGACTCAAGATTTGAATAAACATTTGTCTGAATACATGAAAGGACTAACTGCTAAAGTATTTCGTACATACAATGCATCTCATACCTTCCAAATTGAGCTAAAGAAAGAGACAGCAAATGCTACTACTGTAATGGAGAAAATGGTGGCATATAATAAAGCAAACAGGCAGGTTGCTATTTTATGTAACCATCAACGTTCTGTCAGCAAAGCTCATGATAATCAAATCAATAGAATTGACGATAGGGTAATTTTTTTTTTTATCATGATTATTGTTAATTTCTTAAATAAATTCACATATATGTATTCTTTAATATGTTAGGTTCGTGCTTTGAAATACCAAAGAAATAGATGTAAAATGGAATTGTTGAATCTTGAGCCCAAATTAAAAAAGAAAGAGCCTCGACTATTTGAACCAGAATCGGACATGGAAGAGGAATGGGTAATTGAGCATGAGAAGCAATTGATGGAAAGAGAACGTTTGGCAGCTGTAAAAAAATTTGAAAGAGATAACGAAAAGCTTGCAGAAGAAGGAAAGTCACCTAAACCTGATGAGCATCTTAAACAATTATTAAAAGACATCGATGAAAAAGAGAAGGTGTTGAAAAGTGAACGAAAATCTGGAAAGATCAATATGAGAAAAGGACAAACGAGTGAAAAACTCCGGATCCAAATAGAAAAATTGACAGAACGTATTAACACCACAAAGTTATTAAAACAAGATAAAGAGGACAACAAGACAACTGCATTGGGCACATCGAAAATCAATTACCTAGACCCACGGATCTCCGTTGCGTGGTGCAAAAAATATGATGTGCCAATTGCTAAAATTTTCAACAAGAGCCTTCGTGAAAAGTTCCGGTGGGCATTGGATGTAGATGCGGATTGGGTGAGTATTTTTTTTCTTTTAATTAATTTTATTAAATAATAATATATTTAAAATTATTTTTATTATTTTATAGGAATTTTAATCATTGTGCAGTTATTTTTCATTGGCCGTTTTTTGCTTTTGCTATTTTAAACTTGTGAATTTGTACATTGTGCTTGGTATTAAATCTCTGCCTGGTGGATGGTTATATTTTTTGTGCCAATAGAAATTTTTTTATAATTTAGATCTGATGATAGTAAGGATTCTATTATCATCATCATTAGCTATATTATTATTATTATTAATTTAGATTATAAATATGAAAGCTACAATTTATATATATACTCCCTCTATCAATTTCATTTTATTATAAAATAATGATAAATTTTAGTGATACAAAATAAACTTATTTTATTCCTGTAATCAATCCAAAGATATAAATTCATGCTAAGCTTAAAATCTTATTTTCACTTTGGCATTGACTTGGTTGTACTGGTTTTATTCAATTTCAATCTGGCTGATACTTTTCTAGTTAATTAGAGTAAGAAAGAAATTAGTTGGAATTGGTACTACGCGTGTTATCCTTTTTTGTTTAAAGGTTTTTTAGAAGCAATAATCATTTGCTGATTTTTTTTTGAATCATCTTTTTATAAATCTGAGGTTCTACAACTTTCAACCCATCGTAAAGCATGAGAGGAGCGGAGATGAGCTAGCTAATTAAAATCTGCTTTTCAAACCTAATTTTTGGGATGGGATTTTTTAAATTTCAAAAAAAAATTTTTTTGATACATAAATTTATTTAGATACCTTTTCCACGTGATAAACGTTTCTTACCATTTATCATGCAAATAAACAGAGATTTGTTTAATTTTAATGTTTGGTTAGCATGATAAAGGTAATTACTGGCTGGTACGTTTTTTGATTAACAAATTTACAAGTGAGAATGTAACGTAAGCCTTTTGCTTTTATTTTATTTATTATTATCACATCATGGATCCACTGATTTTGTCTGAACCCCAAAATCCAGTACGGTATGTTATGAATACTTTATACTAGCAAAAACCCCATTGGTTTTGAGGTGGGGCCATTGGTTTGACAGGCTATCGAATAGTAAATTAGTTTTTTTAGTGGAGCAAATAAATTTTTTGGTGGTTAATTATCATTCTATTGACCAGTTTACACATCATGTTTAACGTGTTTAACGTCGAGACACAATAAGATATAAGGTTTGAAAAAAGGATCCAAAAAACCAAATCGGCTGAATGATTTTCAAAACACGATCCTCTTGTTCTCCCAAGTTTACACGAAAGGAGTTCATTTTGGAATGGATTGAGAATAAATATATATGAAGTTTGTAGGAAAAAAGAAATTTTCATGAGCATTGTATTTTTTATATTTTATTAAATAATTACAATATTAATAATACATTAAAATAAATAATAAATAAAATTCATTAAAAAAACCAGGAAATTAAAAATCAAATTTGATAATAATAAAAACAAAAATATTCTCGAATAATATAGTGTCAACAATGTCCGATAGTTTTATTAAGCCCTTATTTCCGGATAGGTTTCTCGTTGATATTCCATAATTTTAATCATTCTAAAATCGGAAAAACAAACAAAAATATACGAAAAGGTCATCAAGTAACCAAGATGTACGGAAATCAAGTAGGATTTACATATTTCCTTGAAATATTCACTATCACCAAAAGCGTAATTTGTGCATTGGTATACACCATCGTGTCTTGCTGGTAAGATGTTTGTTATACCTATGGAAAGGATTGGAATTAGAAAATTAAATTGGAATATTAGATTGGGAATTTTTAAAGATGATGGATGATATATACTTACATGCTGAAATCCAAATAAATGTCAATAATCTAAATTGAAGAAAAAAAAAATTTTTTTTTAAAATATTTGTCGTAAACACGCTTGACTTATGTATGTATATGTATGTATGTAACAACTTACACGTCGAGACAAAGTAAAGACTTTACTAGATTCAATTGACCCCAGATTTTGGTAAAAAAGAAATAATTTACAACTTGTTGAATAATAAAAATGGATTATAAAAGAATTAATTCGTGTAAAAACTAAATAACGAACGAACGAACGATTTAGATAGAACCATACCTAGTACAATTGAGGTAAAGATGATAACAAAAGCGTCGTAACTTTTATAACCAAAAAATTTGGCTCTAAGAAGAAAAAGAAAAAGATATGCGTTTTTAATTAATAAATAAATTGAATAATTAAATCTAGAAATAATTTAATTGGTATGCTTACATTGTCTTATCATTGCTAAAAAATTTAGTAGATTCCAACGTAGTATATGTTTTAGTCCAAGCTCCAAATGATTTATATTCAATAAATTCTTTTTGATTGGAAAATAGAATGCATAAAGAAGATTTTAAATTTTAAATTTATGATTCACAAAAAAAAAAATACGCATATATATATAATTACCCAAAGTTATGATTATAAGAAGTATTACAATCTGAGAAAGTCTAAATCTTTTTTGGAGTTTTAATTGCAAAAGATATTTTTCTAAGTTAGATCCAAACTCTTTTAAATTATTAACAATCAAGGTCATTTTTTTGTTCATTTTTTAATTTTTAAATTTTCCTGGCTTATATTATTTATTTACTATTATATATAATTATTACATAGATTTTTGAGAAGAAAGATTTGGGGTGGAGAATGGAGAGACTAAGAGGTGTGAAATACGGTTAATTAAACAATTAATTATTTTTTATAACCTTTGATTATTTATATATCAAATAAATAATCAGCCATAGAGTGATCTTATACCCATATAACTAACGTTGCCTTTTGTGAAATTCCAACTTTTGGTGAACGTGCGCATAGAAATCTATTAATAAAACAAATACATTTGTTAAAGAAACTATTTGTTAACCCTTGCATGTGAATTAATTTTAATGTTGAATGAACTAGTAATTATATGAATAGACGGAAGAAGAGCATGATAATGAGTTGATCACGGGAGCTGGAAGATCGGCAGGAATGTGGTGTAACAATTATATATACATATATATATATATTAAAAGAATCCCATCTATATATACAAATTCTATTACTATATTAATGTATAAATCATATGTGTGATTGTCCATGTGTGCGTATTTGTTTATGTCTTGTTTCCAAGAAATAATTTCATTTTTTAAATTAAAGCAAATACCAAAATTTTAATTAATTAATTAATACATATATCAACATTTATTTAACTTGTGATTCTTGTGACTATGAAGTTTATTCATTCTGTCATTAATTGGTTTATTTGTTTTGGTTTAGTTTTACCAAGTTTAAATGATAGATAGATTGATATTTTCTACTATATTTGGCAAATTCGTCAATAGTTGACTAACTTTAACACGACAATTTATAAAATAAATAATATAAAATAAATAATGGTGCAAGTAACGAATTAAAAATAATTTCCGATTTGTCAAAATTATTTCCAAATAAATAAAATTTAATTATTTGCCATATTACACGAACAAATAACACAAATATAAAATAAAATAAACAATCATTGAATCAGCTTTTTTTTAAAAAAGTATAAATAAAACTGAATTTCATGTTGAACCAATTTTTGGAGCTTTATGACCGTACTCAAATATACCTCTTTATTTTTGATAATAATAAAAAAAATTATTGTTTTTTGTCCTTTAAAAATCATAATTTTTTCTCGTTCGTTCTTTCTATTATACAACACTAATTAATTTTATTGTTTGTTGCGGCAGCTCTATTACATAACTTTATTAAATATTAATAATTATTTCTTCGAGAATTTTCTCTTTTTTTTTTATCATAATTATTAAAATTAAATAAGAGTAAGAGTAAAAAGTAAGAATAAGAATAAAAAAATGAAATTTGTATCCAAATCATTTCTTCAGAGTGTAAGAACTTCACAAATAGTTGTTAACGCTTTAATAACTATTCTAGGTAAATATTTTATTTTTATTCGGTTATTCATGTTATACGAGCACCATTCTAACTCATCATCATATTATCATGTTCAATAGAAATCACGCTTATAGCCTTGTTACATCGAACAGATTATAAGTTAAGTGGCAATGAATTGGGAGTAGGTTTGACGCATGTATTTAGATTTAGTATCAGTATTTTATCTTTTATATCTATAGGTAGGTAAATTGTGAATTTTTATTTAAGAATACTTTGGTAGCCAGATAATAACAAATATATATATATATATCATTTTAGGTGTTTCATTTAGACGTTTCAGTCATCGATGGAATATTGGACAAATCCAAAAAGATATTTATGTAGATAGGTTAGTGTCTAATCATATATAATAAAATAATAAGTAATAAATTTATATAATGTATAAAGGATAACATACAAAATAATATTATTTATTCTCTCTTTATCCCGTATAGTTTCCTAGCATTGATATGGTCCTTGTCATCAATCTCTAATACAATTCCGTTATTCTATCAAGAAGATAGTGTATGTGAAATATATGATAACAAAGATAATTGTAGTAGAGTAAATATGACATTGATATTATTTAGTTGGATAATGAGCATTTTGCTTATGGTTTCCACATTGATTATAATTAAAAGATGGCGTAAATATAATTTAATGGTGTTGAAACTTCATAATCCAAGCCCTTCTTCTTCTTCTTCTTCTAATAATAATAATAATAACAAAGCAATAACAACAAGTATGAATTCATCTATTAACATGAAAAGATCTATGAGTGATAGTAGTAATAGAAGTATCACAGGTGCAATAGGAGCAGGAGTTGGAGGTGGAAGTGGATTGGGTAATAATGGGATATTGGCAAGTGCTAATTTAACTTCATCACCATCACCATCACCAACATCACCATCTTCAACACCTTCAACTCCAAATTCTAAAGTTGTTATGCAAGAAGGAGTTTTGGAAAATGGTCAACCTGTTCTATTCTTTCATCAAAATAATTTACATATGTTTAGTCAAAAAAATATTTCTAGTGCTTCTTTAGTTAATAATAAAAATAAAAAATGATTTGATAATATGATAAATAAATAATCAATATATTACCATTTAACATTTAGTTGATGGTTATAATAATAATAATAGTAATATAATAATAATAATAATAATAGTTATCATTATACACACATGTTATATATAAATAGTATACACTTTTTTTATTTTTTATTTTTTATCTTTGTCTTTTTATTTTTTATCTTTTATCTTTTTTATTTTTTAGAAACATTAAAGCACATTCAGTCAATCAATCAATCAATCAATCAATCAATAATCATTATTAATCAATCAATCAATCACAGAATATCACAAAGAAGGTATAACACGAAGTTTATTAATATTTTGTTACACCAAGAAATAATATTTTTTTTCTGATTGATAATTATTTTGTGAAATAATAATTATTTTTGTGAAATAGCAGATAACAATAATAGTAAATAACAATAAATATTATTAATTTTAAAAATTTTTTTGTTGAAAAAAAAATATTATTTCTTTTTTCCATTTCTTTTCCCCTTCTTTGTTATTTGCTTCTCTTGCTGTTATATAATTATGATCATAATATGGTTACTATTGTTATTTATAGCATTTTCTTTGAATCTTTTTTTTTGGCAATAAAAAAAAAATAACATGCATATGGTTTGTGTAAATTCTAATTAACGAATGGTTACACTAAAAGTTTTGAGTACCGTGAACGAATGAGCTATTATCGAGTATTTATTAAGTTTCAGTTAAATTTATTTTTGTTCACATTCTCATATTCTCATACCCTAACCCCAGTCTCATCTACTCCTTGCCCATACAAACCTTTAAAAGAAGTGGTAGTTAGTTAGTTAGTTGATTAATTAGTAAGCTGGTTGTGAGAGATTATGTGATTGTTGTGTAGTGAAATGTAATATATATGTGTGTGTGTGTGTGTGTGTGTGTGTGTGTGTAAGTTTCTACAAAGCAAAAGAGCGTGCGTGCGTATTTATATAAAATTTTCTTTGTAAAATGAGATTTGAAATTGGTAAAGATTACGGCGGACGACAACGATGATGACGACACACGATGATCTTTATTTCGGAAAATTATTAATTTTTGTTATTTGTTTATTCGATTTTTTTTTTAATTAAAAAATATCTTGTTTCATAAATATGTATTATGACATTTTCGTTCCTAAAATCACAACATGTAAACTTTCAAGATATATTATGATTTAAGATTCCGTCGGCTTAAATATCTTTTTAGGATTGAGATTAATTAAATTGATAGGTGGATTAAATATTTTAAGCAAGGTGATAATAAATATAATAATCACAAATAATAGATGGCTCATTCATAAAACCTCATAGTTGTTACTTTTCAATGATACATGCTCCATATATACTTTATTATATATATGTAATTCACTGTATTGCATGTTTATATATGCAAGAATATCTGAGCTTAAACTATTTACGTCAATATAATTTGCTCTTATTTATTATATTTATCTGTTTCACTAATTTAATTCGTAAATTCGTTGAATAAATATAAATAGTGTAAATATAAATATAAATAATATATATATATTACAAAAAGAATTTAAAAATAATAGTAGTATTTTTGAAATAATAATAACCTTAATTATACCTGATTTTTTTTAACCAATTGCAAATTATATCAAATTTATATCACACAATCCTTTTTTTTATTTCAATAAACAATTATTTTTTTTATAAAAAAATAAATTTACTTTCCTTTATTTCTGCTTTTCCCTAACTCTTTTTATTTCTTTTGTATGGTAAAAAATAATACCCGTACATAGAGACTAAACACGAGCTACCACAAATATAGCTAATACTCACTTGCACCAATTAAACTTCTATTGTTTTTTCCTTTCCATTTTTTTCAATCTTCATTTCTCCTCAAATTATTATTTATTATTATTAAACGACAAAAATAAAAAAGTTCATTTATCTTTCCAAATTAATAAATATATATTATGAATAGATTCAAGAGGAAACAAGATTTAAAAAAACGTTTAGAAGAATACAATAATAAGATATTACAAGATTCAGTTGATCAACCAATATCAAATACTAACGCTCCACTTTCTTTACCACCTGCCTCAGAATTTCGCACTTCACTCATCTTACCACAACTAACCAAAAGGTTTAGTGTACTAAGAAGAGGTGAAAATAATAACAATACTACTGCCATTACTAATGCTAATGAGGAGGGAAACAATTCATCATCATCATCATCATCATCATCATCATCATCAGCATCATCATCATCATCATCATCAAATGCATCATCATTATCATCATCATCAAGTGCATCATCATCACCATCATCATCATCATCATCATCAAGTGTATCATCATCATCACAATCACCATTTCAATCATCAAAACCTATTGCTATAAAACAACCATCTTCACTTAGTAATGTAACTAATGCCTTTTCTAATATTGTTGATAGTAATTACGATGAATCAGGTATTTTATGTTATAATTATAAATGTACATATTATAAACACCTCAAGTATAAAATATAAATTTTTTCTCCTTTTATTTTATTTAGGAAAACTTTCATATAATTATAATGGATCTATTAATAATTTTTCACCATCAACTTCTCCAAATTACACACCAACACTTTCAACAACAAATAAAAATATAGGTTTATTGAGCGGCTCAGCAATTTATAATGGTCAAACATTAAATAATACTGATAATAATACTGTTGCTGATAATAATGACAATACTATTATTATTTCTAATAATAATAATACTAGTAACAACAATATCAACAACAATGTTAATAATAACAATAGCAATAATATAGAAAAAGCTGATGATAATATTATTAATGATAATTCAACAATTCAAAAGCAGCAGCAACAAAAACAACAACAACATGAAGATGATGATGATTCGGGTTTGAATGAAATTAGACAAATTGATTTTAAATCGAAAAACCGCGAATCCGGTTTATTAGAAAACCCGGCAAAGGATCGTCCAAAACCTCCAAGAAATAGACCTCTTTCTATAACTAAGATATCTGGTAATAAGTGGAATGATAATTCATCAACCACAATATCAAATAATAATCATTTGGCTTTTACATCATTACAACCACCGCCTTCATCTTCTACTACAGTATCCACACCCACCGCACCCACTGCTTTTCTTCCACTTTCATCTCTTGCTCCCCCTTCCAACAATGGTACTAATAACGATGGAAATGCAACCAAAGTTCCACCGTCACCATTACCACATAATTTGTCATCACCTTTGATACGTTCTCCATTGGAAAAATTATCTGAAGGTTTAATGCAATCAATGCAATCAATGAAATCCGTCAACGACACAACCTTGAATGGTAAAAAGCTCAATAATCAAAATGCCGTGATTGGTCTACCCTCTTCTCCAAAATTAAATGTAAATACTCCTTTCTTCAGACCAATTTATCCACCACAAACTCCTTTGCAAACATTAGATCAAATCATTAACGAAAACCAAGAAGTTAATAATAATAATTACGTTGTTGATGGAGGTGGTGACGATGTTTATAATGTTAATGATAATTATGTTAATTATAACGACGAATCAATTATAGATTCTTCTTCTCCGACTGATCCGATGATAGCATCATTTGCGTATAACAATACTATTGATGATAACAACAATAATAATGATTACATATATAATGATAAACTATATAATGAAAATATTATTTATATTCAACAACAAAAATCATTATTCCAACAAAAACAATTATTAAATAAACAACAACAACAACAACAACAATTATTATTGTATCAGAAATTACAATCATCAAAGCAACTCCCCCCTCATTTTTCTTCTGATCGTTCCTCAATTGGTTCTACAATTGCATCTTCATTACAAAGAATGAAAATTGTAAATAATAACAATAACATTAACAACAACAATAAAAACTATATTACTAATAATGATGATGATCCTAGGACATTTTCTATGGATTCTTCTAATATTGACTATAACAGCAACATCAACGACAACAACAATGACGGTAGAACATATACTATGTACTCCAATAATAACACAATTAGATCAAGCACCATGGATTCAAATACTATCGTAATGAATTCTTCAGATTCTAGTACACTTAGATCAAACACACTAGATTCCAATGTTAAAATGTCAATGATGTACGACAATTTCAAAATAGTCGAAGATGATGAGTATCAATACAATAATCATCTACAACAAAAAATGCCAACCACTTCTCAATTCAACGGCTTTGATAATATCAATTCTTTTGGTCCTGGTTATGATCCTAAATATGCGATGATGAATAATATTAATAATATGTATAATAATAGTAATAATAATAATAATAATAATAATAATAATAATATTAATAATAATAATAATAATAATAATAATAATATTAATAATAATAATAATAATAATAATTATAATAATAATAATAATAATATTAATAATAATAATTATATTAATAGTATCAACAATAACAATAATGATGATAATAATTATATTAATAGTATCAACAATAACAATAATGATGATAATAATAATGATACACCAAACAATAATATTAATACGATTAATACGAATAATAATATGAATAACAATAATGATGATGATGCGAATAAACGTACAATTCGTATCGGTTTAAACCCTCCACCTAAACCACAACCTCCCCCATTATCACTTACTGAAACTCTGATAGCTTCAGGCCATTCAGATATTGCTCATCAATTGTTAATAAAAAGAGCAGCTGAGCAGCTATCTCAACAAGAATTTTTATCACAACAAAATCAATTACACCAACAATACAACCAACAAAATCACCTTTTCTCATCTACAACATTATCAATGACGACTTCAAAATCAATTCCAATACGTAAATGGCCATCGAAAAAAACCAATTCAATAAAAAGTATATCCGAGCCTCAACTTGTTTCCACCTCATCAAACGTAAAAACCGTTCCTATAGTACAATTAGATCAACACGATGATGATGAAAATAATAGGTCTCGTAGAAAAATTTCATTTAGAGATAGCAATAATACTAATAATGATAATAAGGTGATAAGTAAATCTATAAGAAAAATTAAAGATGTTTTCACGAGCGATAGCAAATCTTCAAATAATAATCTATCACCTAAATCGTCAGCTGAGAATTTGCCTAAAAAATTCATTTCAGACGAAAATCTAAATAATCGATTTGTATCATATAATAATGATATATCTAAAAGAAGAGCCTACAGTACAAGGGAAAACAATAAACCAAATGAAAAATTAAGACAAGATATACGAAATAAATTGACGTTTATCAAAGGTGGATTCGATGATAATAATAATAATGTTAATAATATCAATAATAATAGTGTTGTTAAATTTGCAGATGTTAATAACAGCAATAATAATGGCAATAACAACAACATCAAAACTTCAGTCGATGATGTTGGTGATAATTCATCAGGTCGTCAACCATTTTATGATATTGACAGTCTTAAAAAACATGCTGAAATGGTAACAAGATATTCCAATAACAAAAAAGGTATTAGCGGTGTTGTCAATGGACTGAGATCACGTTCTGCATCACAATCTTCACAATCTGCCGTTTCCGGTAGAGATTCATCATCATCCACAGAGAAAAAATCTTTAAAAGATCGTGAAGAGAATAACAACAACAACAACAACAACAACAACAATAATAATAATAAAATTGATTCAAATAAAATGAATCAAGATAATCAAAGTCCATTAACCAATCTTACTGTAAATATTCCCAATGATGATAACAATAACAATAACAATAATCATAATGAAAACAACAACAACATCAGCAACACTGCAGGATTATCGCAAGCAACAGCAAATAATAATTATAGTGGTGGAGTTACTACTGGTTCAGATAGTATGCCAAGTAGTCCAGTATCATCTTATAGTCCAGCTAGTACAATGTCCTCATTTAGCGACGTCACATCAGCAGCATCTTCTCCACCACTAATTACACCACGTAATCCACTAAGAAACCCCGCATCTTTCAAACAACAAAACAAACTAGATCAAAAATTGAATGCAATCAGTGGTGGCTCAATTGTTGACTCGCCGAAACGTAATAATTCTGCTGGTAGTAGTAAGAGTGGTATCAGTAGTGATAATTATTCGGATGTTAGTGATGACAAAGGAGAAACAAAAGACTCCCGAAGTGCTAGATTATTATCTATTTTTAATAATAGTCGTAATAGTAGTGGTAATGGTGTTGGTGGAAAAACAAATAGTAATGATAACTTATTAAAGATTTCATTACAAAAATCAAATAAAGATTCAAAATCAGATGGTGATAATGGTGATATTAATGGAGAAAGTCAAGATAATAAAAATGATAGCAAATTGCGAAATAAAGTTATTCGTCGAACCATCATCATCACCAAACCTTTTCTTCCCCCATTACCCGAAGGCGATGATACAATTGCTTCTTCAACAAAAGATAACGATAAATCGCCTATTATGAGTGAAGATGGTTCTAATCTTTTGGTTGTTCCAACATTAAAACCTGCCGCTAATCGTCCTCCCACACCAATACCATCACCAAATACAAGAGATAATGTTATCAATACACCTTACAATATTCCAATACCTCCAATTCCAACAGACAAGCAAACTCAAATTAATACTAGCACCAGCACTGGATCAAAACGTATGAGTAAGTCTAGTATTGCATCATCGAATTCAGGTCGTACGAGGAAAACCAAAAGTGTTTACAGTGATAGTTTATATGATTATTATGATTATTCTGATGATCAAGAAGGTGATGATGAAGACGAAGTTGAAGGTAATGGTAAACTTCAAAAACGTGAAACCAGAAGAGACTCCAATAGTATGAGAAACGAGCAAAAACAAACTATTAGTGATAATAACAGTGCAATTATAATATTTAATGAAGATGATGAAGCAGTTGACGATGAAGAAGTAAACGGAACAGAAGCAGTAGATGATTTTGAGCAACATTCACATGTTGAAGTACTTGAAATGGAAGACGGATCATATGTTTGGCAAGTAATAAACGGTCTTAGAAGTAATGGCATGGAAGATCACCACGGCTATTATTATTCTGGTGATGAGTATGTATCAAGTTCAGAAGTACGGCCTCAAGATTTCGACTATAAGATGGATGATGATCAAGTGTCACAATTTTCTGATATAAAAAATGGTCAATTGGAATATCACTATGGTTTTCCAAGTCCTTTACATTTACCTGGTGTACAACCACGTCAAAAACAACAACTTCTAACGCCAGAAAATCCAAAAAAAATAATTATCAATAACCGTGATAATTTCGATGATGATTTCGGTGATAATTTTGACGATAATCTTGATGATGTTAATATGCCAAAAACAAACGTTTACTTTGCTAAAGATGTCACATTGCCAAAGTTATTAGAAGAGATGACAAGAGGTTTAGGCAGTGTTATTGATTATAATCGAGATGATATGTACAGTGGTGAATTTGTTACAGGTGATGTCACTGGAGGAGTTATTGGCGGCATGACTGTTGAAGAAAAATTGGAACAAGTCATGAGATCTTTGGGTGTTGATGATAATGTAGGTATATATGTTGGATAGTAGCAAAGACAATCAGTTAGTTATTTGGATAATTAGTAAGCTGTATTAGTAAGCTGTAGCAGTTAATAGTGTACGTTTATTGATCCATTATTTCATAGCACATTACATATATTGGGCTATGCTGTGGACTATTAATATATGTTTGTAATGATACATCATCAATTCTCAAAAAAAAAAAAAAAAAAAAAAGACTTTATTACCAACGAATTTATTAATTCTTTTTTCAAAAAAAAAAAAATATATATATACATATTTAAAAAATCAAATTTTAGAATACTTTATTTATTTATTAAAAATTTTTAGATTTAAAAAAAAAAATATCATACATATATACATTATAAATACACACACACACACACACATTTAATTATATTTTTATTTATTTGTAAAATAGAGGCTCCAGAAACTTATAATAAATAAAATATAAAACTTGTATTAGTAAATTCAGGAAGTTCTATTAGGACCAATCTTTTAAAATGTATAGGCTCAATAATCAAATATGCTAGAGCAAAAACTCATTGCTGTAAAGCAAATCTTTGAATGAGAACATAATGCCATTTTGAATATCCGTAGCCTTATATAATAGAGAGATCCTTTCGATATAAAGGATGTTACACGATTCGAACGCAATTAACGAATTTGTTCCAAAATGAATTTCTTGAATATGGATTAATTCAATCTAGATAACTTTTCGGTTTTAGAAGTAGAAGTCGTCATAGCAATATGGATAAAATTTTGTTAAGTCTACTACAACTTTATTAAATATTCTAGGTTTTGTTTTTCATCAAAAAGAGGTTCTCGATTTTTTTTTTTTTGCCAATTTTTAAAGCTTCAATAAGTTCATTGTTTTGAAAGTCATTATAAATCTCTTTGAAGTTTTGTTCTAATTCTTGGTTGTATTTTTCCGAGAAAATAAGCAAACTTGAGAGAATTTGTTTAAATTCCTTTGCACTTTTTTTTTGTACTTTTAAATTATTCTATAACTTCCGCTATTGTATCTATTCGTAGTCTTGGCCCATTTTTTTTCTGTTCCTCGACAGTTTCTTTTTTTTTCAATAAAAATCTTTTAAATGTTCAAGTTATTAATAAAATCAAGCCAATCCCAAAAGAAACAAAAAAGTAATGATGCCGTCAATTTAATTTAAAACTTTCTCGAAAAGGTAAAGTATTCTTTTTTCTATTCATTTTCGTTTATCCCCACCTTGAGAAGTTCGTTTATATAGAGTTTGTTCTAACTTACATGTTCCTTTTGCTTGAATCCATAAAGTATTTAATCAAAAATTACAAAAGATAATCAGCTTTTTAATTTTTTACTTTAAGAATTCGTTTTTTCTTCAACAGTATATAATAGCTTTGTAATCCGAGGCATCTTTTAATTTGTAGCTACACAGTGAGTCTCGGTATAGCGGATAATTTGGGCAATTAGAACAAAAATTTCATACCGAGATTAATTCAAGATTTAATTAGTAAATCCGTTAAACCGAGAGAATTTACTTATAGACGGTTCTGAGCTTTGATCCGTTAAACCGAGAGTTTTATTAGACATCCGCTATACCGAGGTCCGCTATACCAAGACTTACTGTGTATTTTTTTCTTTTGCTTGGATTTTTTTTTTCATCTTTTACTTTTTTTTTTTTTTTGATTGCCCAAGTTGCAAGTACAACCGAAGGAACTAGCTCCAAAAATCTTCTCATCACATTTGCACAAAAGTTGTTTTTCCTATACAGGTCACTCCAGTTATAAGGACCTTCTTGGGACAAGCAAAAAATGTCCGTATAATAATAACGAAAAGTTCATATAAATCACGTGATTTAAAAAGGCTATATATTATTATTATAAAATAACAAAATTATTTTCTTTTATTATTGGATAATTCATTTCATAATTCTTTTGTTGTTAAATACCTTGTTTGAAAACGTCAACAAACAAAAACAAAAACAGTTATGAATAAATTTTCTTTATTGTTAAAAATGTAAAGAAAGATACTTTATCACAAATCAATTTCTTTGTCTTTTTTTGAAAGTGTAGGTACTTTATAATCATCAAAAAAAACAATTCATAAAATTTTCTTTATTGTTAATAAGAAAGAGATCGTAAAGAATGAATTGAAAATAATAAATACTTTGTTACCAAAAACAATTTGTATATTAAGTATTGTGTTAATAAACTTGATTTAATATTAGAATTTTATTTATAAAACTTGTTTTTTGAAAAAATGTCACTATAACGAGACGGGAGTGATGTATAGGGTGATAGTTCCCTTTGAATATTATATACAATGTGATATCGTTTCTAAATACTTGTTTTTTTCCTCATCAAAAATCTAATGTGCTTGTTAAGCGTTTTCTCGGCATATTTTTGACTTCCAAATTATTTGAAGCATCTTTTAATTATTTTGTGCCTTATAAAAAAAAATAACGTATGGAATTCTGTATGTTAAATACTAATTATAATTATAATTATAATGTATTTCTTATCATCATTCAACTTGGAAAATTTTTTTAAGCGGCTTAGCCAGGCTAAATTAATTAGACGATAAAGAAAATTTTCTCTTTAGTGTAGAATTAGAATGACAAAAGAAAAAACATCGTTTGCTCAAAAAAATAAATAAATACAATATTCGTAGCAGGATAAAATATCATAATAAAGAAAGCAATAATAATCAAATAATAATAATGGTGGCGAGTTAGGAGATATAATTGGATTTAAACCATCTCTACTACTATGACATAAAAAGTTTAAATTTATATTTAACTTCACTGAATAAATTTAATGATGAACTTTTTCTATCAATTAGTGTTGGCCGCCAAAACTATTTCGAAGAGGCGAAAGTCAAATCTAAAATTAAAAGTTATATGTCAAATCTAAATCAAGAGTCAATAGTCAAAAAATCAAAACTAGTTTCGACTTTCGCACGGTTGCGAAACTCTCTAGTTTTGGAAACCAACACTAGTATCAATCCAACTTGCAAAAAGCAAAGTGAGTTCTGAACATCTTGATGATGATGATGATGATGATTTTACCATATTACTAGCATGTCTTTTAGATTGATAATGCAATTTTTTTTCAATGTTATATCGTTCCTAGAGATAATTAGCTATAATATTTGAAATACATCTTGGCTGTCAATTGGTAGTGGATTGGTACAATTTGGAATTGTGGGGTTTGTATTAATGAAAATATTGCCAGATGGATTTCCATCTGGTCTAATTGTAAATAAAAAAGATTAATTAGTCGAAGGAGGCCTGTAAAAATGTTGAGAAGGAAAATGTCTTTGTAAGGGTTGAACTAGTACTAGTGATTGTATCCGCCGAATGATATTCACCGATTATTCATCGATTATCCGGTTAATCGAAATTTTCGCCGGATAATCAACGGTTCCAACCACTAGGTCGAACTGATATCGAATTTTGTTTTGGGCTAATATCATTACCATTGCTTTAGCATAGAAAATCAAAGGGAAAAACAGAAGAGCTTTTTGGAATAATGATTTTTTTTTGATGATGTTTAACATTGTCGTTAAAATAATAATTATTTTCTGAAAGGGTGACAGAATTCTTATTCACTTTTAATCATTAAAGAATTTTATTGATTTTTTTTAAAAAAAATTAACAGTTTAAATCAAATAAACAATAATTGCTAATAATAAAGCTGCAAATAGTGACATATTCTTAACCAAACTAAAGAAAGGAAAGGAATTTTAGTTAGATAACGTGGAATCTCGAACTCGAAAAATAAAAAAATCACACACATGTACTTTCACACTTACAATTTATCATTGTTTACCGGTTTACAAAATAGTTTTGTTTTTTTGCGGAGCGCAATACCAACATTTTCCCATTCGAGCACCTTGTGATGTTCCTCTGTCAACCCTTCAATAATTTTGCCTTTACTTGTTACTCGTAAAGTCTTTAATTCTTTCTCCTGTTCTTCGCCTGATAATAATTGTTCAATAAATTCAACCGATCGTTTCAAGGATACGTTTGCTAATATACTAAACTCGAATAACTATTTTTAAAAATACCATTATTATTACTACCACTCCTACTATTATTATTATTTCGCATAATTAATATTAATTTTTTAAATTTAAAACTTTGTGAAAAATTACCTGGAAGACGTGAGGCATTTCTTCATAAATCTCAAGGACAACTTTTGTGGGCGCTTTATAAGGCGATTTTTCAAATTTTTCAGCATGGTAATAGGGCAAATTATACTTTCCTGGATTAGCAGCTTTATGGGCCAAGTAAATACATTCATCTCTTAATTTTTCTCCATCGCCTGCTTGCTATACAAAAAAAAAAAATTTTTATTTTTTATCATCGCAAGATTTGGCACACATTTTTTTTAAAAAAAGTATTTACCACTAATATCGGTGGTAAACCACCCAAACTTTCGGCCAATAATGGAGAAACATATGGAATTGCTGCTCCTTCATTAGACACATAAAGATGTAAACGATCATCGTGATCAAATGATTTATGCCAAAATTTTGGTTTATTATCAACATTAAATTGGATTTTTTCAGTCAAGTTTTTCGCTTTTTGTTCAAATTCTTCCCACGCAGGAGATGTTATACCTTGAAAATTTTTCTCCGTCAAATAATCTGATTCATTAAATTTTGGGTCCATTGCCGATGGCATCGAGTGAGACAAATCAACCCACGGTGACCACATAACAGCACCGGCTGGTGAAGGTAATTTTGAGTCACGTATAGCAAGTAATGTTGCCATTACTAGACCACCACCTGCACTATCACCCATAATTACAATATTCTTGGGTTCAATTGGTAGGAAATTGGCATCTTTTGGTGGGTTAATAAGATAATTGTAGGCGGTTATCGAGTCGTGTAAAGCGGCAGGAAATTGATTTTGTGGTGCGAGTCTATAATTTATTGCTTAGGGAAGTAAAATTATATGTTGTCAGTCGGTTTAAAAAAAAATTTTTTTTTTTTGTCAAAATTTCATTTCAAAATTAGTATTAATTAATTAATTACCAAATACTCTTGCATTTGCAAGTTTTGCAATTTTAGAAGTAAACATGCGATGAGATTTGGCGGAACACAAAGCATATGCGCCACCGTGTAAATACAAAATAACTTTATCATATTTTTTCTTTTTATCATTGCTTTCATTTTTTTCATTTTTTTCCTTGGCGTAAACCCATTCACATTCTAATCCATTCCCAATACCAAAACTCTTCCAATCATCAAGAAGCACATGATTATAATCTTTCAGAATCTCATCAATGTAAATTTGTGATTTTTTACGAAGTGAATTTGACAATGTCAGCTCATTGATAAGTATATCATCATCAATGGTTCCAAAACTTGCAAAAGACCCTTGTTGACCATATTCGATAGTATATTCGCACATTAAATCAAACGATTTTTTTAAAAATCTGTAAGTCAAATAGAACTTCAAGTCCCATGATGGTTGTGGTGGTCCGTAACGATAATAATCGATTACGGATGAGAATACCGTGGGTAATTTTGGAAGTACGGTTGATAATGTTGAGAGATCTGGCATTTTTTTATTTTTACAAAAAAAATTTTAAATAATTTTTTACAAATATAATAATAATATTTAATTTTTGTCATGAGACTGTTTATTTATAAAGATTTCCTTCGGCAAAACCATCAGACCAAAACATGAGAGATTTGTGTAACTATTTTTCAAAAAACTTTAATTAAAAAAAAATTCCCTTATTTGTTCAAAGGTTATCTAATGAATGGATGAATGAATGGATATGAAATAAATGGATATGAAACGAATATGAATAATAATAAAAATTATTATTACCATAAAGTCTGGAAAAACGATAGGAAGGAGATTCAGTAAAACCAACTTCCGAAGCCTTCTGGCCAAATTTGTGACTTATAATTGAAAATATTAGACCCTGTTTGCATAATAAAAAAAAAGTTAATCTAATAGGATTGTTTTCTTTTTATTCTTATCATCAATATTCGGTTATGCTATATACCAAATCAGCAATGATCATCATATTAATCGAGTGAAAAGATCAACCGACTAAACCAAGTTTAGTAGGCTCCCGGATAATTTTTATCCACTCTAAAATTCTCTACCCCATTTTTTTTACATGCCACAAGAAAATTTAACTTTATCCACTTAACATATGATTTCATATAAATATGATAGATTTAAATTTTATTTCTTTGCTCATAATGTCACACGACTTTTAAAAAACTTTACTCGGGATTCGATAATATTATATATAGCAAGTTTTTCTTATAGCCTTACGCAAAAATAACTTCTAGATTTAATTATGTTAACAATGATAATAGACTAACTAACATGAGAAGCACAAGAACCTTTCTCTATTTTTCTACTGATAACCACGAAGCTTTTCAACATTTTTTTCTCAAAGGATAGGCTCTTCATCCATCTGGTTACCCTAATAAGTCTTTAAAGAAAAGAGAACAAGTCATATGTTAAAAAAAAAAATTAAAAAGTTTTGTCTTTGCAATGGATTCTTTACATGCAAAAACACTTTTAAAAGACTTGGAAAATTTTTCTTAATTCAAATGTAAATTTTAATAAATATAGCTGAATTGGCTGCAACATATGACAACATTGAAATATTTTATTTAATTTTAGATCTTTATGAGAGTGTTTTTCCTTTACATTATTGTTTGTTCACTTGTTTAGATTCACAGAGATTCGATATATTTTTACATATAGGTTCACGTGGTATTTATGCTATTTGGGAAACAGTTGTTTATTGTTGGATTCTGAAATAGGATTATTAAGAAATTGGATAAAAATTTATTAAATCATGATAGTGCGCAACGTTACTACTCCCTTTTAATATTCGAAAACATTACAAATATCTCGATTACTATTACTATTACTATTATGAATCAACAGAAACCAATCTGCTAAAATAATTAGATGATAATAATAATAAATTCTTTTACATTCATTTTTACGTCTGGGATTTTAGTGCAGAATTCAGTAGCATAGACAATTAGTTGAAAGATGTGTCCATTTGGATATTACTTGGAATGACTCAAAAGAAAAAAACATACATTTTCTCAAAAAAAAAAAAAAAAAAAAACAATGTTTTAGCAGGATAAAGGACAATAATAATTAGAGTTTCTATCCTTAATATTCGGATTATCTATTTTATTCAAATAAACTCGAATTCATAATGAATAAAATAACTTTATTCGAATAGGAACCTAGCAACAAATAGTTATAATAATAATACCGGCAAGCTTAGCATCATCTGAGAAGTTTTTTCATCAATTGAGATTTATTTACAAAGAAAAAGAAATAAACTTGGTAAAAATAATAAATCAACCAATATTTGTGAATTCATGTATCATTTGTCTAGTAAATTATATAAAAATATAAGATAAAAAACCACCAGAACAATTGTATCAAGTTATTTTGTCGCTTTGGCACAATCTATGCTACACTTTCATTATTATCACCATCTTCGTTACATCATAATAACAAATTATAGTATTAGCATGGATTTCGTACCTTCCTATTCCGACTTATTTTCATATATATTAAAATTAATATTCAGTACTTTGAATACACACGATTATTTGGAGAGTATTAATATTAATATGTATTCCGTATTTGGGATTTGGACTGGGAATTGTTATATTCATCATTATTGTTATGCGGACGACACTGCGTGAAGAGAAAAGAAAAGTCATGTTTTATTTGTTTGATTTCAACCAATCAAAACATAGAAAAATACATGATAGTTTTAATTTATATAAAAAACCACCAGAGTAGAGATGGGCAAATGGCGTATAGTTGAACACTATACGATACTATACGATACTTTACATATAGTGCGTATAGTGCATATAGTACGTATAGTGCATATAGTACGTATAGTACGTATAGTACGTATAGTACGTATAGTAGTGTTGAAATTTGATTGGGTGATTTTCAAATAATAAGAAAAAAAAATTTTTGGCTATTACGATAAGCATAAATCTTTAATTTATTCAACCTACACTTTTTTAGGTTTTATTTATGAATCATTAATTATATTGAATGAATTAAATATCATGAAAATCAAAACTGCTTTCATTTTTATTTGATTCTTCAATAAAATTTTCATCAGCTTCCTTGATGAAATTTTCAATTATGTTGTAACTTATCTGTACACTCTAGTATTTGAAGTATTAAAATGTTCTCCAAAATAATTTCTTTTAATTTGAATTGTGGCATTTGGACAAAGACGTAAATGTTTTTCACATCTAGATATTGAACTAGAACGTTAATATTAAAATGTTGCCAAATTGCAGGCAAGTTTAAAATATATATATCATGAGAAGAGTATTAATTAATTTTTATAATATTACTATTTGGCAATAACCTAAACAGGAATTGATTTACATTTACTACTATATTTTTCTAGAACTATATGCACTATACATATCACTATACGTATAATATTATACGTATAGTACTGATCTGCCCATCTCTACACCAGAGTAATTGCACAGGAGGAAAAATACTCGGGCTACCTATTGTTTAATCATCTTGGCATAAACATATAGGGTCTGGGATACTTTACCGACAATCAAAGTAAAGTCGAACTTGACATAGAAATGGTCTTGCGAGGAACACCATGACCCCACAGAAACCACAAGATCGTAATTGTGAAATACGGATTCAAACAGTATTAAATGACTGTAAAGGAGTAATGATATTGGCGCATGATGTTTCATGTGAGGAAAATATATTGACGCCTGATTTCATAGAAAACAAATTAATTTAGTTAATTTAATTATTATTATTATATACTGTTATTTTTTTTTAAAACAGAAGAATGCCAAAAGATCCGAAAAGAAAAATCGCATGTTTTAGAAAAAAAATATGATGAGTAAGTGTTATTTTTTTTTTAAAGTGGTGGTAGTTGCATGCAAGCACTATTGCTATTCTAGTCATAATAATAAAACAACATGTAAAAATATTTATTTTGAACATTCTAGTAATTCTTCTTCGTCCTCTTCATCTTCATTGAAAGTAAGTTTATCATGTTATTTCAAATGGATAAGACTGTTTGTTTTATTTTTAGTAAGTTTAGTTTCTGATTATAAAGTTTAAAACTTAAAGATTCTTAGGGAAAGTAGTGTTCTAAAACTCAGCGAAATATATAAAGTTGATGAATCTACCATAGCAAATATCTTAGAAAGGAATAATGATCTCTTAGATGATCTGGATGATTCATTTATAAATATAACAAAAGTCTTGGATAGCCACTTTGACGAAAATAATGAAATTTTAGATGATAATTATGATAATTACCTTGAATCACAAGACGGTGAATCATCATTTGAATATTATAATAATTTATCATCTACATCTGGTCTTGATAATGAACCATCGATTGTTGAACATTCTAAAGGTAAATAATAGATTTGAAACTCATTCTTTCTACAAAATTTATTTTATTACTATTAACAATAAAATACAATAAAGATGTGAAAAGTTTGAAAGTTGCTGGTGGAGTAAAAAAGGTATATTTTGTTATTATATTAATTCTCTTATTCTTTTGTTAAAGAGGTGTTTTTTATTTTATATATTAAAATAAAAACCTTTTATTTGTTTATTAATAGTCTTATTGCCACAAACCAGGAATTGTAGCCTTGCATGAAATCCGCTACTACCAGAAAAGCACCAACCTTTTGATCAGTAAATTATCTTTCAAACATCTTATTAATCAGATTGCTCAAAACCTTCAACCAGACACAAGTTTTCGATCATCTTCTATCCAGGATTTGCAAGAAAGGACTAGTGCTGTAATTTTTTATGGTGGTAGTAATCATAGTTGCGTCATATAAAAAGCGGTTGCAATTACCTTTGCAACCACTTTTACAGTCGATCTGTTGTCTTTTTTGTATTATGGCATTAGTCCTTAATATTATTGTTTTCTTTAAAATGAGAGATTATCTGTATTAATAAACCCTATTTTATTATTAATACTTAAAATAGATTTCAGAAGCATATCTTGTTAATTTATTAGAAGATGCTTGGTTGGCAGCAACTCATGCTAATTGTGTTACCATTCAACCTAAAGATATTGAACTTGTTTTACATCTTTGTGGAAGAAGATTTTAATTGACATGATTATTTGCATTTATTATAAAATTGCTGATAATATGGTTACCTTTATTTTTATTATATGTAAAATTCATAACTGTTGTTTTTACCACCAACTATAATTGTTAAATATTAATCAAAAAATTAAAAAGATCTGCTAACACTAATCACATGTTACTTGATAATTATGATAAGTCAATGGGTTATGTGAATTCAATATATAAAACATTTATAAAAACTTTACTTGTGCTAATATAACAAGCCATTGAGAAATTTTCTTAGGAATTCAAAAGTAGTTTAATTAGTAAAATTTTTATCAGTTTTAATTTTTATTTATTTAAATACACCTGCCCACAAAAAAGTATTTGGACAAAAGTATTTCTCAAAAGCTAATGAGGAAACATGATTTGTTTTAAGTAAAAATTCTCAATAGG